ACCAAGACAGCGCCCCCCGGTGAGCAGGAGGAGAACTGTGTGTGAAGCTTAAGCTGCCGTACAGACGGTATAAACACATACAAATACAGAATTATAAACACACATATATCCTCATTGCCTCGTGTATGAACTGTGCCATACGTGGCCTTGTCAAAAAATAGCAATAAACCATAACATCCTATAGCAGTAACCTCAGCTCCCAGCAGGGGGCGTCACCAACATTAAACTTTCATGCAGAGTTGGGAGCCGAGCGAATGATACTCTCCCTGACTCTTGCTGCGGTGGGAACAGACTGGAAGCAGATTAGAAGCATAGACGACCTCATGAGAAGACGCTGGTTTTGCTTCAGCTGCTAGCGCCTCGTAGCCTGTAGCTAGCGTTAGCACATGGGTGACAGAATCAGGGCATCACTAAACCGCTCCAGACCGAGACGATTAATAAGTAAAAGAAAGTGTGGCGCAAGAAAGACACTGAAGTCACCTGGGTCTGTGTGGAGACCTCTGAGGTAATATTTGTGACTGTAGGAGATCAGAGACTAGTGGAAAACAACTCCCTAGAGCTAAACTCAGACAGGACTGAGGCTGTAGACCTAGGACTGAGACTGTAGACCCAGGACTGAGGCTGTAGATCCAGGACTGAGGCTGTAGACCCAGGACTGAGACTGTAGACCCAGGACCGAGGCTGTAGACCCAGGACTGAGACTGTAGACCCAGGACTGAGACTGTAGACCCAGGACTGAGACTGTAGACCCAGGACTGAGACTGTAGATCCAGAACTGAGGCTGTAGACCCAGGACTGAGACTGTAGATCCAGAACTGAGGCTGTAGACCCAGGACTGAGACTGTAGATCCAGGACTGAGACTGTAGACCCAGGACTGAGACTGTAGATCCAGAACTGAGGCTGTAGACCCAGGACTGAGACTGTAGATCCAGGACTGAGGCTGTAGACCCAGGACTGAGACTGTAGACCCAGGACTGAGACTGTAGATCCAGGACTGAGGCTGTAGATCCAGGACTGAGGCTGTAGACCTAGGACTGAGACTGTAGATCCAGGACTGAGACTGTAGATCCAGGACTGAGGCTGTAGACCCAGGACTGAGACTGTAGATCCAGGACTGAGACTGTAGATCCAGGACTGAGGCTGTAGATCCAGGACTGAGGCTGTAGACCCAGGACTGAGGCTGTAGACCCAGGACTGAGGCTGTAGACCCAGGACTGAGACGGTCCGGTCCACTTCACTTAAGCAGTAATTCCGTGCAGTGACTTTATAAAACGATCGGCTCTGGCCTTTTCTAAATGTCAGCTTTTACGCCGCTGTATTGTTTTCATTCCTAAACTTACCTCCCGTTAACTTTGCCAAGACCCGGTCCCGTCAGAGCGCCGTTATTCCCCGTCCATTCGACCGTCTTGTTTGGGCGCCGCTTTGACATCTAATAAAAGCCTGGTCTTAATCCCTGTCGTGGCCGTGATCATGGGAAGCCGTTGCATTATGGGTCGTGGAGATGAAATTGCTTCAAGAGGACCCGGACATCGGATCAGGATTTTACAAGACCCGAGCGGCCACTCATCACGGGCGCAATTACAGCGTTTAATATGCAGAGGCCAAGGGGGGGGGGGGGGGGGGGGGGCAACCTCCATTAACCCGACTGTTGTACCACCTGCACGAGGCGATGGGACCACAACGAGACCTGTCGTGTTTTTGTTACAGTGACTTTAATGTCAAACCTCAAAGACACGCTGAAATGTGATCACAATAATAAAGAAGAATTACATGTCTAGCTTTAGCATCATGTACGTCTGGTCTTACCATGTGTAAACTCTGGTCCATGGTCATTTCCTACATGTACGTCTGGTCTTACCATGTGTAAACTCTGGTCCATGGTCATTTCCTACATGTACGTCTGGTCTTACCATGTGTAAACTCCGGTCCATGGTCATTTCCTACATGTACGTCTGGTCTTACCATGTGTAAACTCTGGTCCATGGTCATTTCCTACATGTACGTCTGGTCTTACCATGTGTAAACTCCGGTCCATGGTCATTTCCTACATGTACGTCTGGTCTTACCATGTGTAAACTCTGGTCCATGGTCATTTCCTACATGTACGTCTGGTCTTACCATGTGTAAACTCTGGTCCATGGTCATTTCCTACATGTACGTCTGGTCTTACCATGTGTAAACTCTGGTCCATGATCATTTCCTACATGTACGTCTGGTCTTACCATGTGTAAACTCTGGTCCATGGTCATTTCCTACATGTACGTCTGGTCTTACCATGTGTAAACTCTGGTCCATGGTCATTTCCTACATGTACGTCTGGTCTTACCATGTGTAAACTCTGGTCCATGATCATTTCCTACATGTACGTCTGGGGTTACCATGTGTAAACTCTGGTCCATGATCATCTCCTACATGTACGTCTGGTCTTACCATGTGTAAACTCTGGTCCATGATCATCTCCTACATGTACGTCTGGGTCTTACCATGTGTAAACTCTGGTCCATGGTCATTTCCTACATGTACGTCTGGTCTTACCATGTGTAAACTCAGGTCCATGGTCATTTCCTACATGTACGTCTGGTCTTACCATGTGTAAACTCTGGTCCATGGTCATTTCCTACATGTACGTCTGGTCTTACCATGTGTAAACTCCGGTCCATGGTCATTTCCTACATGTACGTCTGGTCTTACCATGTGTAAACTCTGGTCCATGGTCATTTCCTACATGTACGTCTGGTCTTACCATGTGTAAACTCTGGTCCATGGTCATTTCCTACATGTACGTCTGGTCTTACCATGTGTAAACTCTGGTCCATGATCATTTCCTACATGTACGTCTGGTCTTACCATGTGTAAACTCTGGTCCATGGTCATTTCCTACATGTACGTCTGGTCTTACCATGTGTAAACTCTGGTCCATGGTCATTTCCTACATGTACGTCTGGTCTTACCATGTGTAAACTCTGGTCCATGATCATTTCCTACATGTACGTCTGGTCTTACCATGTGTAAACTCTGGTCCATGATCATCTCCTACATGTACGTCTGGTCTTACCATGTGTAAACTCTGGTCCATGATCATCTCCTACATGTACGTCTGGGTCTTACCATGTGTAAACTCTGGTCCATGATAATTTCCTACATGTACGTCTGGTCTTACCATGTGTAAACTCTGGTCCATGGTCATTTCCTACATGTACGTCTGGTCTTACCATGTGTAAACTCCGGTCTATGGTCATTTCCTACATGTACGTCTGGTCTTACCATGTGTAAACTCTGGTCCATGGTCATTTCCTACATGTACGTCTGGTCTTACCATGTGTAAACTCCGGTCCATGGTCATTTCCTACATGTACGTCTGGTCTTACCATGTGTAAACTCTGGTCCATGGTCATTTCCTACATGTACGTCTGGTCTTACCATGTGTAAACTCTGGTCCATGGTCATTTCCTACATGTACGTCTGGTCTTACCATGTGTAAACTCTGGTCCATGATAATTTCCTACATGTACGTCTGGTCTTACCATGTGTAAACTCTGGTCCATGGTCATTTCCTACATGTACGTCTGGTCTTACCATGTGTAAACTCTGGTCCATGGTCATTTCCTACATGTACGTCTGGTCTTACCATGTGTAAACTCTGGTCCATGATCATTTCCTACATGTACGTCTGGTCTTACCATGTGTAAACTCTGGTCCATGATCATCTCCTACATGTACGTCTGGTCTTACCATGTGTAAACTCTGGTCCATGATCATCTCCTACATGTACGTCTGGGTCTTACCATGTGTAAACTCTGGTCCATGATAATTTCCTACATGTACGTCTGGTCTTACCATGTGTAAACTCTGGTCCATGGTCATTTCCTACATGTACGTCTGGTCTTACCATGTGTAAACTCCGGTCCATGGTCATTTCCTACATGTACGTCTGGTCTTACCATGTGTAAACTCCGGTCCATGGTCATTTCCTACATGTACGTCTGGTCTTACCATGTGTAAACTCTGGTCCATGGTCATTTCCTACATGTACGTCTGGTCTTACCATGTGTAAACTCTGGTCCATGGTCATTTCCTACATGTACGTCTGGTCTTACCATGTGTAAACTCTGGTCCATGATAATTTCCTACATGTACGTCTGGGTCTGATCCTAGTGGCTGCAGTTCTCTCGGTTGAATCTCCTCCGACCAATCAGAGAGCAGGGGAGGCGGGTGTTGTAGGTCGGTGTCGGTGACGTCAAGAGTTTGTGTTGAATTTGCTGGTTGTAGTTTGTCGGAGAATGTGATAGTAAAATAATCTGTTCTGGTTCAATCCAAATATCAAGAAACTGAGGCTGTATAGACCCAGGACTGGCCCTCCACAGAACAGAAAGCAGGTGGTCTGGCTGTAGAAGACAGAATCTCCTCCTGATCTTCTGGACTGGACTGGACTGGACTGGACTGGACTGGGATCAGAGAGCACCACTAAAACCCCTTTTGTTTGCGGTCATTCTCTGCTCTTGGTTTTAACGATCAAACGCTCCCATCGCCGTCGTTCCAACAGTATCTACTTGTTCTGCTGCGTCCCTCTGCTGTATTTGCCCCATTATAACGAGGTCTGGACGTCTGGGCTGAACGCTTCCACCTACATCGGCTTCTGAATGTCGTTCGCTTCAATTGTCTGATGGTTTTAGAGCTCCCAGATCAGCCACAAGGACTGACAAAGGTTTCTCACTTTTCTCCCACTGGGTTTTTAAGTAAGTAATTTTTATATATAATCACAAAGCGCTTTACAACTGTGTGCATTAGTCTCTCGCCCCCCACACAGAGATGGGAGGGGCCAGTACAGGAGGCACAGACCTATTGTACATGTTTTTAGTGGTAGGGGAAACCGGAGTACCTGGAGGAAACCTACGCGGACACTGGGAGAACATGCAAACTCCACTCAGAAAGGCCCTGTTCTGACCGGGATTCGAACCCAGGACCTTCTTGCTGAACGTGCTGAGAGTGCAATACTAGCACAAAATCGTTCCAAAATAACAGACCTCTGCAGCGCCATAGTAAATATATCCATAAACTCGTACAAACATGAATAATTATAATGAATAATACAATCTTAAATATTTAGTATATTCTTTGAGCGAGCTACTTAGAAGGAGGTGGTGAGCTACTGGTGGCTCCCTAGCTACAGGTTGGAGAGCCCTGGTTTAGAACAATGATGGAGATGATGGGCTGAAGGTGTGCACCGTGTCTGTGCAGGTTTCCTCCGGGTGCTCCAGTTTCCCCTACCACTAAAAGCACACTAGTCCTGCTCTGGTCCGGACCAGTGGGGGAGGGTCCCAGCTCAAAAGTGGCCAAAAAGATGTACGCTGACATGCTGCAATACCACCCCGGGCCGATGGGGGTGGACCCAGAAGTAGAATTAGCCAATGCTAACATATAGCGTTAGCAGACCTCTCAAAAACGTCTTTACAGGATGGACCAAAAGTTGTCTCTTGGCCCAAAGCTCCGTTCCACATGTGTGTCAAAGCTGAGTGTTCTGGACCAGTCTAGTTTAGTCGCTGTGAATGTTTGAAGTCTCTCGTTCAAATGAATGGAGCTCTCTCCGGCTGACACATGGACAGACGCGTTTTTTCACAATTTTCTTGTGGGCGGGACCACTCGCGGCCATTTTGGATAGCTCCAGTAGAGCACATTTTTTGGCCCATTAGTTAGAACGGCGGAGATAGGCGTGACTCTGTCCGTTTATATTTACAGTCTATGGTCCAGACCAAACCGAGCATCAACATCTGGAGATGGGATCCCGGGCGCTGTTATTACGGCGACCACTGCTCCTGACGTAAGCCTTAGCAGCATCAGGATGGGTCAAATGCAGAAGATGGATTGCGCCGCTCCCCGTTCTGTGATTGGAGGAGAGCGGGCGTCACGCTAAGTCTCTACTCAGCACTTTTTACGGCCTGAAATCGTAGCTGAATCCATGAGCTCAAGTTTCAATGAAAAAATTGATTATAAAACAACTTGTGTGTAGTACTACTCATTAGAAAATAAATATTGGGTATTGCTTCTTTAAAGGAGTAGCTCTCTGCCTTTATCAACCCTGGGAAAGTAGCTCTCTGCCTATATCGTCCCTGGGAAAGTATCTCTCTGCTTTTATCATCCCTGGGAAAGTAGCTCTCTGCCTTTATCGTCCCTGGGAAAGTAGCTCTCTGCCTTTATCATCCCTGGGAAAGTAGCTCTCTGCCTTTATTGTCCCTGGGAAAGTAGCTCTCTGCCTTCATCATCCCTGGGAAAGTAGCTCTCTGCTTTTATCGTCCCTGTGAAAGTAGCTCTCTGCCTTTATCATCCCTGGGAAAGCAGCTCTCTGCCTTTATCATCCCTGGGAAAGTAGCTCTCTGCCTTTATCGTCCCTGGGAAAGTAGCTCTCTGCCTTTATAATCCCTGGGAAAGCAGCTCTCTGCCTTCATCGTCCCTGGGAAAGTAGCTCTCTGCCTTTATCATAGCTGGGAAAATAGCTCTCTGCCTTTATCGTCCCTGGGAAAGTAGCTCTCTGCCTTTATCATAGCTGGGAAAATAGCTCTCTGCCTTTATCGTTCCTGGGAAAGTAGCTCTCTGCCTTTATCGTCCCTGGGAAAGTAGCTCTCTGCTTTTATCGTCCCTGGGAAAGTAGCTCTCTGCCTTCATCATCCCTGGGAAAGTAGCTCTCTGCCTTCATCATCCCTGGGAAAGTAGCTCTCTGCCTTTATCGTCCCTGGGAAAGTAGTTCTCTGCCTTCATCATCCCTGGGAAAGTAGCTCTCTGCTTTTATCGTCCCTGGGAAAGTAGCTCTCTGCCTTTATCATCCCTGGGAAAGTAGCTCTCTGCCTTTATTGTCCCTGGGAAAGTAGCTCTCTGCCTTTATCATCCCTGGGAAAGCAGCTCTCTGCCTTTATCGTCCCTGGGAAAGTAGCTCTCTGCCTTTATCATCCCTGGGAAAGCAGCTCTCTGCCTTTATCGTCCCTGGGAAAGTAGCTCTCTGCCTTTATCATCCCTGGGAAAGCAGCTCTCTGCCTTTATCGTCCCTGGGAAAGTAGCTCTCTGCCTTCATCGTCCCTGGGAAAGTAGCTCTCTGCCTTTATCATAGCTGGGAAAATAGCTCTCTGCCTTTATCGTCCCTGGGAAAGTAGCTCTCTGCCTTCATCGTCCCTGGGAAAGTAGCTCTCTGCTTTTATCGTCCCTGGGAAAGTAGCTCTCTGCCTTTATCGTCCCTGGGAAAGTAGCTCTCTGCCTTCATCATCCCTGGGAAAGTAGCTCTCTGCCTTTATCATCCCTGGGAAAGTAGCTCTCTGCTTTTATCGTCCCTGGGAAAGTAGCTCTCTGCCTTTATCATCCCTGGGAAAGCAGCTCTCTGCCTTTATCATCCCTGGGAAAGTAGCTCTTTGCCTTCATCGTCCCTGGGAAAGTAGCTCTCTGCCTTTATCATAGCTGGGAAAATAGCTCTCTGCCTTTATCGTCCCTGGGAAAGTAGCTCTCTGCCTTTATCGTCCCTGGGAAAGTAGCTCTCTGGGTGAAAAAGGTTGGGGACACCTGCTCTAAGCCACAGAGTTAGAGACAGAGTTAGAGAGTACACCACCTAGAGCTCTGGATGGTTGCGTGTGTTTGAAACGCCCGGCTCTTCTCTGGCCTTGACCCACTTCGTTAAAACTCTGCAGATGTAACACAGTAATGTCTTTGAAGTCAGAACACAAGCGTCCCATTCAGCGCACAACATTAGCATGCGGCCCTCATCGACGCCGTTTAGCTTCCCAAGGTCCACGCCGCCGCTTCCCACAGCGATCACAACACGCCGAGGCACGGACCGTCCACGTTTCAGCCGCTGGAAGAGGAGAGAGGTCCCGTATGTCTGGAACAAAAGGCTCAAGGCTGATTCTTTGGAGGTCTTTGGCTTCTTCTCCTCGAGAGTAATGACTTTGGCGTTTCGTGTTTTGTGAGAAAACAAAGGACGAGCTCTGGATTATTCACAAAGATGTTTCAGGGCCGGTCTGTCGCACAGAGTTTATGGTCGTGGTCAAAGGTACAGAAGGTATGGCTTTGGATTAGGACTTTTGTTAAAAGATTATTGGTTTTTCAGTCCTGGATCTACAGCCTCAGGTCCTGGATCTACAGCCTCAGGTCCTGGGTTTACAGCCTCAGGTCCTGGGTCTACAGTCTCAGTCCTGGGTCTACAGCCTCAGTCCTGGATCTACAGCTTTTAGTTTCCGTCTTCTCCCTGTCACGAGGGGAGGAGGCTGAAGTCGGGGCCGGGCTGACGGGGGCCGGGCTGATGTGGGCTGGGCTGACGGGGGCCGGGCTGATGTGGGCCGGGCTCATGTGGGCCGGGCTGATGTGGGCCGGGCTGACGGGGCGGGGGCCACAGCTCTCCTTCTGCCATAAACAATAAGAGCAGAGACAGGGACTCTCAGAAGAGGCCGTACATCTGCATCAGGACAGGAGGCCGGTGATGTCATGGCTCTTTACATTCTTCATTTCTCCCTCAAGAAATTAGGAAAAGACAAGAAAACCCTGTATCGCTCTGTGGGGAGTTCAATGTCATCGCTGCACAGTCAAACAGCAGCTATTCTTTAAGATAATGTCTCTGATAGTTTTAAGCATTATGCCTGTGGCTGGGAATATCTGCTTTATTTTCATTATTATTAGTATTATTAAGGCACGGCAGGTTTATTTGTATAGCACAATGCATAAACAAGGCGATTTGGCGTCGGAAACCAGGTCGGACTGACTCAGACTCGGACTCAGACTCACTGCTAATTCACACATGAGGTGTTACAGCACGTACACGTTCTACGCGCCGCAGACGCGCGTAACTTTTTCCATGTTAACCTATGATGATATTTACACTTCTAGCGTTATACGTGTGTATGACGGACGTATGACGGACGTATGACGCGAAGCTGCGCTCTAATTTAGGATGGATTTCTAATTTTGTGCGCGCACCAACGCGTCTCCCATTGAAATCTCATGTAAAACATTATTTTTCTAGCAGCCCTTGGCTCTAGATCACATCTACACACACACACACACACACACATACACGTTTTTGTTACCTGGTGGGTCCCTTTGACAGGGCCGTTCAGAATGGGATCCATAGACATAATCTTTTTTTACCAAGACTTTAAGTAATACAAAACAGTCAATAGAAACCAAACAACTATTTTAAAGGAATTTTATTTTAGATTTTGTTTTCGAATTGCAGTGATTCTATTTTTGACATAGAATTTAATGCCACTCCATGTCCGATGTCTAAGGTCATCTGGTGAGGCATTAATGCAGGCCAGGCAGTGAGACTTCCCAGGGACCTTTCCAGTCTGTATGAAAGGTGTCATGGTCTTCTCCACAGCCTTCACCTCAGATGCAGACCATGGCTTTCTTACACGTTCTAGGGAGAGAAATAAAAATATATTAGCAATATACACTCCCAGGGTGAGGACCAAGCAGCCTGGCTGTAATCCCCCACCTGGTACACTTACCAGAAGGGGCACTGCCACTACCATGGGGTGCATCTGGATGAATGGTTGAAGGTTCTCCGCTTGAAGTTTCTTTTAGCCCGTCCGTTTGTGAGAGGATCTCTACTGCTCTCCCTGTCGCACAGAAAATAAAAATACAAGTGGCCTTTTGGGGAAAAAAATCATACATATTTTAATAATATCAAGAATTACCTTCAGGCTCAATTTGTATCTGGTCGAGGCTCTTTCCTTCGAATTCCGTCACTCTTCCCTGCTCCATGGCCATCAACACTTTGCTGATTTTGGCCAGCTCCAGTGTCCCCTCTGGTAGTCTGTAATATTGCCTGTGGATGCGAATGTCATGGCCGAGGAAGTTGGCAAGTATGTCCATCTCATTCTCGTTCATATTGAGAACTGTAGACATAGTAGCTATGTGCTTTCTAAGTTTGGTTGAGGATAGCATCTCTGGATGCACCGCACCACATTCTTTGGCTACCTGGCGTAGGGAGTCTGATCCCCTGATGTGGGTGTCTGCGCCCGGGCGGGAAAAGAAGTATGGGTTATGGTCAGAGATGGAACAGGCCCTTCTGTTCTCCACCAGCACCTCCATCGAAGCAATCATTTCAGGAGTCAAAAGAACCGGCACTTTCCGACTTCTTTTCCCTTTAATTTCAATGCGTTGAAAATGCTGACACAGCTTTTTCTCAAGTTGGGGACAGTCCCAGAGCAATGTCAGAATGGATCCCAGTCTTACTTCTTAAGGTAAACGCTGTCAGTGGCATCTTTGAAACCTCACCTTCCCTTCTTCGATTGAAAATGATGACCTCACAAAGAGTCAAAACTGCCAGTTTAGACCAATGCTTAGACGTTGGCTCACTTATTAGGGTTTGCACATATTCAGGTCGACATACCTCAATATGTGCATGCATGGCTCTAACGTCCTCAGTCAGAGGGAGCAGGTCCGGAGTGTTCCACTTGGCTTGCCGGAGGGTCTGTAGGGCAGCAGAAGAAACACAGACGTCCCACCTCTTCTCAAAAAGCAGCCGGCTTCGTTGGAGGTTTTTAATAAATAGTTCATCAACACAATGCTCCATTTTTGAGTCACATTCAAGAATATCTGCTAGCTTTCTGAGGCTATGGCCGAGTTTGAGGGCCAAGGATGGAGTCTTGTATTGATTTGTTTCCTCATCATATCCAGCCACAGACCTGACTGCATCAATCACATGGTTAAAGTTGGAAGGAATAAAGAAATCCTTAATTGTTTTCAGTTTCCCTGCGGTTTTTGCTTCGTTAATTAACCTACCGACTTCTCTCATTTTCTGCCTAATGTAATCATGCTTAGTCTTATCATGCCCGTGTTTTAAGTACAGGTGCTCTCCGAGTCTCAGAATCCCCTTTTCTGCTTTGACAACACCCGTGACCTCATCCTGATGCATTGCCGAAATTAAAGACCACAGCTTTTTGCTGATGCCCTCCGGTACAGGCTGGGCTAGGGAGCAGAGGGACTGGACCCTACTTCTACCTGGTTTAGCCTGGTTTAGCCTGGGCATCTTTCTGTGAAAGCCGGCACCTGGCCACATGCCTCCACAGCGACTTTCGCTTAAGCAATGCCCCACAGTCTATACAGTGCAAAAACTCACTGGATTTAACTGGGGAATTTGGCTGTTTAGCTGGGACTAAAGTTCCAATGCCGGCCTTTAAAACCTCAAAATTGTGCTCACGGTTTCCACTATTCCTGATCAAATCAAACTGAAGTTTACGTGCTTTAGATTTCACAGGTAGAGCCAATGCTCTGGCTACGTCACTTTCATTTCCATGTTTTCTAGTCAAATGACGGGACATTTTGTGGCAGGACATTGAACAGTAGAGGCAGAAGTGTCTCTTGCTGTAAACTCGCCCCCCATTTTTCTTCTTTTGCAGCTGCATGATAACAATCTTATTTGCCTTTGGTTCGTCACTTTCCGAGTCTTGAAGAAAAGTGTTTTTGATTTTTCTTTTTCCATACTTTTTTACAGGTTTCTTCTTGACAGTTAAATCGTCAGAATCTGAGTCGACTTCATCAATTAGGGACTCTTGACTAAGCTGCACAAACAACAAATAATTTGTAATCATTCTATATAACAATTTGAAGTCATGACTTGTAGTCAGCACTTACCAGTGGTTTGTAAGCGTGCGCTTCAGTGTGCTCCTCCATGATTTCTTGCAGCCTAATGAACCACACACTTGCACCTTTTTCTAGCCTGACACCTGATTTCCTCTGTTGTGCTGCTCCATGATTGGCTCCAGCCTGCTGGACTGAAATTGCCCCAGTGTGCCCCTCCTTGATATCCCGCAACCCACCACCAGGGTTCCGACACATAACACACTTTTTTCAGGAAAGTAAACCTCCAGGGGTCCTTTCCATATTTTTACAGAGACTGCATAAGGACCGTTAGAAAAGCATTACCCATTGATTATTAAGCTTGGACCAGTGGGGTCCGGTGTTCGGGCCCCACCACGTAAAACCAGTCCCCATGACGTGAGTGGAATCTCAGGTTATGGAACCCACCAGGAGTTGAAAACAAGTGCACGCACACACACACACACACACACACACACACACACACAGCACTTGTGTCTAAACATCAGCAGGAGGAGCAGCAGGTTTTACAGGGATTCTGGACATCGTTTTTTTTCTTTCATAAAGTCTTGGGTCTGGCCAAACCAGCAACAGAGACCATGAAGACAAACACATGTGATTTGTGTTGCTCTACATCAGTCTCTGTACTGTCCTCTACACTGCTCCACAGACTACACTGGGACAGCATCAGAAGCACGGCCTGTGTAGATACTACAAAACATGTTACACGCAGAGAGCGCGCAGTAAACGCGTACGCGCTGTTTACGCCTACTGTGGACATTCCCTGTTAGAACCCGGTGGTAACGGAGGAAACATTTTAGAAAACAAATTTCTCCAGAACTCAAGGTTAATGTCATGTTTTTATCCATTAACGTCTCCATTTGCATTTTCAAAACTCAGCCAAAAAAAGATGAATATGCATGAAAAAGACATTTATTATTCTCATTCAAGGACACAACAGGACACAGTAAATAACAGTGAAGACTTTCACCAATAACAATAATAATAATACTGTGGATTTAAATGTCAACTTTTCCATCTGTGACGAATTGTTTTTTGTGTATCGCCCTAAATCCCAGGACTGAGGCTGGAGACCCAGGACTGAGACTGTAGACCCAGGACTGAGGCTGTAGACCCAGGACTGAGGCTGTAGACCCAGGACTGAGGTTGTAGACCCAGGACGAGGCGTAGACCCAGGACTGAGGCTGTAGACCCAGGACTGAGGCTGTAGATCCAGGACTGAGGCTGTAGACCCAGGACTGAGGCTGTAGACCCAGGACTGAGGCTGTAGATCCAGGACTGAGGCTGTAGACCCAGGATTGAGGCTGTAGACCCAGGACTGAGGCTGTAGACCCAGGACTGAGGCTGTAGACCCAGGACTGAGGCTGTAGACCCAGGACTGAGGCTTTAGACCCAGGACTGAATGTATTCTGTTAAAAGATTTGCTTTTTGCCTTCGATTAAACTTTGCTTAATGACACCATCAGTTTATACAGCTTAAGCCTGATGTTAAAATGCAGGTTCCATGTCCCGCCCCCTGAGGCGTCACCATAGCAACACACAGTTCACTTCCAGTTTTGTGATGAGGTAACTTATAAATGCCGAACACTTCCTCATGACTGGGAACTTCTCTGATCCCAGTCTGTTACCGTGGAAACGTACTAATTGCTGTGTCATTTTTTGGTTTTTGTTGGCTCTTTCTCATGCGTGTGTTTTTACTTTGGTCTTGGCAACGGTTGCTAAGGAGCTAAATGCTGGCTCCGGGCCGAAGACTGCAAACAGATGGAACATGCTAACCCGATAGCTCGATGAAGCCCAAAAGGGAAGTGCTCACAGACGAAGTTTTGCACTCACTTTCTCTGGCTCCTATGACTTTCATGTTAAAGTTCTCTAGTTCAGTCACTGTGGTAGATAGATAGATGGAGACCTACTTCACGACTCCCACTGATGTCTGCTGTCGTTGTGTCCTTGGGCAAGACACTTAACCCCACTTTGCCTGAAGCCCCCGCTGACAGCTCCTGTGGACTTAGCACCTGCAGCAGGATCAGTGAGGGGCTGGTGCTCTGTGTACTGGGTGCAACTCTGACTGCCACCCCCCGACCCAGACATGGATTAACCCTTAAAAGACGATGCCATCGCCGACGATGGTGGCGCACATGTTTTACAAATGATCAATTTACTCGTGAACGTTGAACGCTAGCGACTTACTATTTTTATCTCCGTGAAGTACACATTCCAGCCTTTCCGAAACTGCCTTTGGTTTTTCTCTGCTACATACGGGGGATAAACTACGTGTGTATGAAAGTCAGTCCCCCAAACGGATCTTCAAGCGGTGCCCCGTGAGCCAGGCACAGCCGCATGTAAAGTGTTTTACACACACGGGACTCAGACAAAGATTGTCAGAGAGTGAGATCTCTCACTCCTCTGTGTTTACTTGTTGCTGCATAGGCAGCAGCGCTCAGAGGAACCAGAGGAGTTCGCATTATTGAGAATAGACAATAATAAATACAGTAAAATGATATTATGTGTATAAATAAATTTGATGTTTTATTTTTTTTTGTCTTAGTTTCTTTTGTTTTACATATTTTACAGCTGTGATACAGAAGCAACCACAGCCTCATAGACAAACTGCTTGAGGAAGGGCATCAGGAGTACAGCGTTTTTGGCTTTTATAGAGGAATTTTGTAAAAAGTGTAATAGTTACGGATTCAAATTTTTTCCCCATTATCCCCAAGACCATAAATAACATTTCTATGCAGTGTAAAAAGTTGTTTATAGCATTTCATTGTGTTTTTCAATACATTTTTGTGAAATTGATTTTCCGTTTAGATTTTTTCTTTGTCTTCATGACTCCACATTTTTTATATAATTGATATGACAGCTCCAAAATATAGATATTCTCAAACCCCAGGTTGTACTGAAAAAAACAAAGTATACTGCTTGACTCTGCATCAAAAAATGACTCTTTTATGAGCAATTATACACAAAGAAAACCAGGCGAGGAAGGTTCGCCAAAATTACCCTAGACCTTGGAGGGTTAAGGGGAAGAAAATGGATGGATGTGTTTCTGCTGCTACTGGACCCCGGAATTTCGCCAACGGGGATCATTAATGTATCCATCTTTGCCTGAGAGCCTCCCCGAAGTTTCTCACATTAGCCACAGCTGCCCTGGGGCACACTGACAGAAGCGAGGCAACCAATCTGTGCCATCGGCCCCTCCAAATTTCTGGACTTTGATTCATTGTTGAGGAATCTACAACTTCGAACGCCGTTGTGATTTACGTTATAGGTCATACACTTAATTTAAAAACATTGAATTGGACTGAATTTAAATGATTTAGTCGCATAAAAAGGTCATTCTTGAGTTCAACTATTGTGATATATAACAAGATGCTTTCCCAGATTAATCCTTTCTCGTCCGAACTAAACTTTAGTCAAAAGTCCCGGGGGCGCCGTAAGTTTGCACCATTTGTTGTAACAAGACTTGGAGCAGTGGGAATCACAGCTTTTAGGCAGAAAGATGGATTTCGGGAACTATCCTCCCCTGAGTTTCCAGCTGCTGAGACAGAAACGCACATCCAGCAAACTGCAGAATGTGCTTTTACCGTTCGGAGACACACACTTCGACAATAGCATCACAAACATCTATTTACAGCTAATGTGTCCGGCTGTGTTTGGAGGCCGGACCTACAGCTGCCTGTTCGATCTCCCAAAACGAATGAGTATGCAAACAAGTTAGCCTGAGCTGCTGAATGATGGATGGGTCGCCTTCAGACTAAACAGAAACCAATCCAGGGGCCATTTTGATCAGGCTTTGGAGACCAGCAGGGACCGGCGGACGCACAACACTGTTTCATAATCAGAATGTGGTGGATTGTGAGCTATTGTCTAAGAGTATGGTACAGTTAAAGGATTATGGGAGCATTTTTACACATTTTAGGAAAGAACCGCCCTCTCCACTTTTTGAACAAAACTCTCTGGTCTTATTTGACGAGCACGTTTCACCAGAATGATAATACGTTCTTGATGATCCACCCGGAAAGTAGAAAATCCTCCTTTACAGCTATAACTTTTCTCTACCCAGGACACTGCCGCTGCCCCTTATCGCTGCATTTCTTGCGTTGGAACTGTGCTCATCACTTGACGGGTGCATTTAAACAGAGCCTCTCAGTTCTCTGTTTGAGCCGCAACCCTCCTCCTCCCCATCACCGACGCTTCAGTAGAGTATCATGACATGTCTTCGTCACCAGGGTCTAGGCCCCGGGGGGTCGCAAGCTCATAATTTCTTTTGAACTCCCTTCCGTATACGTCATGCAGTATTCCTCGCCAAAGCTCATCCACGATTATGATTTTGCTCAATCGAAGTCTGCTGGTGTTTAGTCATGCATCTTGACAATACATATTCTAATGCAATCTTTGTCAGAGTCTTTCTAGATTGAAATGCAATGATAAAAAACACATAGAGCCATTGGTGCAGAAGGAGCAGAGATCAATGTCCATAAATGTCGTTGAATGCCGAGTGTCCTGGATCGTCGCCATAAGACCCTCCTACTTGTATTAACTTCTATAAATACTATGGACTTTCTGGCCCATTAACGTTCCCATTGTAAACCCTGATCTTGTGAGCTACTTTTCCTCCAGTTGCGCTGAAATGTTTCATCTAAAGAATCAGTTGTAACCTATTTTCCGCCTCCGTGTTGTGGCAAAGGCCTTTACACGATGAAAACAGCACAGGACAAACAAGCTTCTTTGACGGCGTTATTTCCCCAGAGATTTCTTGGTAAGAATAGTTTGCGAGAGAATCTGTGAGAGGAGCTGGCTGAGGAGCATAGACTGTATATAGATGGGTAATGCTAACCCGCTAGCTCAATGAAACCCTAGGAAAGTGCTTATAACGACGTTTGGCTCCAGCTCACTCTGCCTCCAATTGACTAAAAGTAAATTTCTCTAGCTCAGTAGCCGTTTGTGTCACACTTTTGAAATTAAAAATATGCTCTCTGTGATCCTGCTTTTGTTTTGTGACATTGTCTTTGTAAACACAGATATGAGCCATTTAAGGATTGACCAATCAGATGCCTTCTTTGGGGTGGAAACTCCAGCTTGCCTTAGCATCCATCCATCCATCCATCCAATATATATTCCAGTCTGGCTTTAGACCCCACCACAGACTCAGACCGCCGTTGTCATGGTAACAAACCTAATCCAATTGAACTCAGACGCAGGCAAAGTCTCAATCTTAATCCTGTTAGATCTAAGTGCTGCCTTTGACACCGTCGACCATGAGATCCTCTTACAGAGATTAGAGGACTGGGTTGGTGTCGCTGGCACCGCCCTAAGTTGGTTTAGGTCTTACCTTGAAGACAGGAAGTACTTTGTGGAGATTGGAAACTGTGTCTCAGATCATATGGCCCTGACCTGTGGAGTACCACAGGGGTCGATCCTGGGACCTCTTCTGTTCAATCTCTACATGCTGCCGTTAGGTCAGTTAATACGCAGAAACGAAGTTTCCTATCATAACTATGCAGACGACACTCAGATCTATGTCTCACTGACTGCAGGAGAACATGGACCAGTGGACTCACTCCTTCACTGTATCCAACAGATCAGTGAGTGGATGCAAAACAACTTCCTTCAGCTAAACGCAGACAAAACTGAAATGATTGTCTTTGGTCCCCAGAAACAAAGAGAGAGCGTCATCTGTCACCTACAGTCTCTCTCCCTAAAACCTTCAAACAAGGTTAGAAATCTAGGGGTAATACTGGACTCAGACTTAAATTTTAATAGCCACATCAAATCAGTAACATCAGCAGCTTTTTACCATCTAAAAAACATTGCCAGGATCAAAAACATAGTGTCTAAAGCAGACTTGGAGATTCTTATCCATGCATTTGTCTCCAGTAGGTTAGACTACTGCAATGGCCTGCTCACAGGTCTGTCCAAACAGTACATTCATGATTCAGGTTCCAGTTTAAAAACATCCAGGAATGTTTTTTTAACCCTTTAATGGTTTCCCCTAAACAGTGCCCCTAAACTCCTACATTTTAAGTGAACAATAAAGGGTTAATGTGCTGTGATTACTCATGATTTTAATGCCTTGTTGGACTGTTTCTATCTTGTTTTGTTCAGCACTTGTGTATGGACTGTGCTATACAATTAAACCTGCCTTACCTTGCATAATACACGGTCTATGGTGAGGAGCTGAGTGAGTCTCCCTGCTCTGGTGTGTGTTAATGAGGGGTATGAGGAGTGTGCATGAGGATTACACCGGCCCTCCCTCTGTAATTAGCAGAAAATGATTGCGATGGCACGGTTTCAAAGTGGGAAAAAGAGAGCGAGAAACCGCTTCATAAAAGGCTCGGCTTGAAAGAGTGGATTCGCAAAAGGTCTGTCTCTTCATCTCCAGTACATCTACATAAAAACACCGCCTTGTTCAGTTTAACGCCAGAATATTTCCATTATTGCCCCAAAAACCTGGAGCAGTTTTCCTGATGATGTACGGGAGGCGTCGTTTAAGTCCCAGCTGTAAATAATATACTTTTAAATATAGAATATATCTGGGATGGGATGGTATTCTTTAATGAACTACAGTAAATGTACCTTGGGCTAAATGTCCAATGTTATCGTCCAGACAATATTTTTATATATTGTTAATGGATGAATGGTCTGAAGTTTTTTTTCTTTCCTTTCTTTATTTCAATGAGAAAAACACAAAAGTAGCAAAGGCACATGTGGCTTATAAAGGCAGGCGTTATAAGCTTAAACTTCAGCCTACGTCTTTTTGGTCTGTGTAAAGTATGCCATATTGTTTCTGTTTTTGCAATTGTATTTTTGTTTGCACCAAAATGACCGAAATAAACACTTATACTAGAAACCAATGAATGAAGCTTCTGTGTTCAGTTTTCTAGCTCAAACATGTGCGTCTGTGTTCGTGAAGAACTGCTGCTGCTACTTCTGTTTTTGACCCAGTTTAATCTCTGAGCTTTCTTTTTCATTAGTTTCTCCTTCTCTCCTGGTGCTGTATTCACCTCACGCCTCGGGTATGAAGTCCTCCACACTCCCACGGCGCTGAAAGTAACTCGACCAAAGCAGGTCTCTGGAGAAACGTCCGCCAATCCTTCAGAGGTCAGAGGTCGGCCCCCCAGAGTCTGTGCTCCCTCTGCTCAGTACTCCTCCAGGACCACAGGGGGCGACGAGAGCTGAGGCCGCCACAGAAAATAACTGTGAAAAATAACCTCAGACTGTGGATCTCTGAATGTAAATGAAGACAAAAGAGGTGGTGACAGATAATGATAGAGAGAGAGAGAGAGAGAGAGAGAGAGAGAGAGAGAGAGAGAGAGAGAAAGTCAAATTAAAAAGAGTATATTCCCTGATAAAGAGGAATCTAGACGTGGAACTGAACCAGAATAATAATAACGGATCAGCTTCATATGGCACATTTTTGGGCACTCAAAGACTTCATACATGGTGATGATAAACAACCACTGTAGCCACAGCTGCCCTGGGGCACACTGACAGAGACAAGGCAACCAGTCCGTGCCATCTGCCTCAGGAAGTACCATCACATTAGTCCTGGTCTCAGGTCTCTGCACCTGTGGCTCAGAGAATGGCCTTTATGTCTCTGATTGTCCCAGTCTCTCCGAGGCCTCGCTCCAAAGTCCATCTATGACATGTTTCTGTGGTGAAGTCTAAAGCTGTGAACCCTCCACCACACGCTGAGTGTCAGGTTCAATAACTGATGAGCGAGGATGGTTCTCTCTTTTTCACTTTTCTGTCTGAAAAAAACGGATCTAATGACGAGACAGAGGCCAAAAGAACACAGGCCTCTTAGTGACACACAAAAGCACCCTCTCACACAAACCAATGTGGTTTTACTGCAAATGGCAAATACATGAATCTGAAACAATCTGATTTTAATTTATACCAAGGACAACCACAGTTTGACACTTTACAGCCGCCCCCGCCCCACCTGCTGTTCCCAGAGGTCTCCCATCACAGTGCTAACCAGGCCCTGTCCTGCTTAGCTTTAGAGGTGTTAAAGGATCTAGCTTTCACACCTGCTACTTCCCACGTGTACATTTTGACAATACAATCATATAACTTGTATAATAATATAGAGTTTATGATAAAAGTGCAGGTTACTAAAATACATATATTTGGTGCAACACAGAGTTACAGCGATATGTGAAGAACGACACCATTTTAAACTAAATAATAATAATTATAATGACTATCAGACACAAACACAAACTTCTAACCCAAAAGACGCCCATTTAAATAATAAACTTGAATCCCTAAACTTCCCAGGCCTTTTTATCCCCGGCCCCAAAACGTTTTCCAGAACGTCCGGAATTTACGCTCCTCGTAAATGGAGCGTGACACCTTGACTGCTCCATCGGTCGCGCCCTCGCCGCATATTTACGGCGGGAGGAGCGGCCCGATGTGCGGTGATGAACGACCGCCTTAAATACTTCACTCCGGCCGATATCGTGCTGTTTAAATCCCAATCAGAGCTGAAGCCATTTTCCCAACGCAAACCCACGGAGGCTTTGATGGACGGGAAAAAACCCAAATGGACCAATCCGGGATTCGAGCCGGAGGAGATGGATTGATCCGTGACCGGGAGATCAGGAGCCTCATTTATTTGCCTTTGTCTAAAAAGGAAAAAGCGATCGAAAAGCCGTGAGTGATGATGTGAGCGACAGCCTTGGATTCTTAATGTCACCGGGCTGCGTTGCCATGACGACCCCCAAAAAAGTCAAAAGGCTGAACGACAGAGATGAGAGTTGGTCCAAAAAGTTCAGCAGTTTTTTTATTGTTTGTAAAAAGGTTCTTGACGTTGTTTTTTTTAGTATGTTAGGGATCGATAAAGAGGGACTAGAGAGAGACCAGAGCGAGAGACCAGAGAGAGAGACCTGATTCAGTTTCTTTGCCGATTGCAGTAAAACCCCTTTGGAATACATGTGCGAGAGTCCCCATGTGCGAGAGTCCCCAGTGTGCACCAGAAGTACAGGAATAAAACAAGCTAAAAAGTGCAGGAAACTCTCTGGTCTCTCTCTGGTCTCTCTCTTTGGTCTCTCTCTTTGGTCTCTCTCTTTGGTCTCTCTCTTTGGTCTCTCTCTTTGGTCTCTCTCTGGTCCCTCTCACCTCACTCCCACTGCCGCCCCAACCCTCCGGACCTCACTCCCACTGCCGCCCCAACCCTCCGGACCTCACTCCCACTGCCGCCCCCACCCTCCGGACCTCACTCCCACTGCCGCCCCAACCCTCCGGACCTCACTCCCACTGCCGCCCCAACCCTCTAGACCTCACTCCCACTGCCGCCCCAACCCTCCGGACCTCACTCCCACTGCCGCCCCCACCCTCCGGACCTCACTCCCACTGCCGCCCCAACCCTCTGGACCTCACTCCCACTGCCGCCCCAACCCTCCGGACCTCACTCCCACTGCCGCCCCCACCCTCCGGACCTCACTCCCACTGCCGCCCCCACCCTCCGGACCTCACTCCCACTGCCGCCCCCACCCTCCGGACCTCACTCCCACTGCCGCCCCAACCCTCCGGACCTCACTCCCACTGCCGCCCTAACCCTCCGGACCTCACTACCACTGCCGCCCCCACCCTCCGGACCTCACTCCCACTGCCGCCCCAACCCTCCGGACCTCACTCCCACTGCCGCCCCAACCCTCTAGACCTCACTCCCACTGCCGCCCCAACCCTCCGGACCTCACTCCCACTGCCGCCCCCACCCTCCGGACCTCACTCCCACTGCCGCCCCAACCCTCTGGACCTCACTCCCACTGCCGCCCCAACCCTCTGGACCTCACTCCCACTGCCGCCCCAACCCTCCGGACCTCACTCCCACTGCCGCCCCAACCCTCCGGACCTCACTCCCACTGCCGCCCCAACCCTCTGGACCTCACTCCCACTGCCGCCCCAACCCTCTGGACCTCCAGCCCTCCGGACCTCACTCCCACTGCCGCCCCAACCCTCTGACCTCCACCCTCGGACCTCCTCCAGCCCCCGGACCTCACTCCCACTGCCGCCCCCAACCCTCTAGACCTCACTCCCACTGCCGCCCCCAACCCTCCGGACCTCACTCCCACTGCCGCCCCCACCCTCGGACCTCACTCCCACTGCCGCCCCAACCCTCTGGACCTCACTCCCACTGCCGCCCCAACCCTCCGGACCTCACTCCCACTGCCGCCCCCACCCTCCGGACCTCACTCCCACTGCCGCCCCCACCCTCCGGACCTCACTCCCACTGCCGCCCCCACCCTCCGGACCTCACTCCCACTGCCGCCCCAACCCTCCGGACCTCACTCCCACTGCCGCCCCAACCCTCCGGACCTCACTACCACTGCCGCCCCCACCCTCCGGACCTCACTCCCACTGCGCCCCAACCCTCCGGACCTCACTCCCACTGCCGCCCCAACCCTCTAGACCTCACTCCCACTGCCGCCCCAACCCTCCGGACCTCACTCCCACTGCCGCCCCCACCCTCCGGACCTCACTCCCACTGCCGCCCCAACCCTCTGGACCTCACTCCCACTGCCGCCCCAACCCTCTGGACCTCACTCCCACTGCCGCCCCAACCCTCCGGACCTCACTCCCACTGCCGCCCACCCTCCGGACCTCACTCCCCACTGCCGCCCCAACCCTCTGGACCTCACTCCCACTGCCGCCCCAACCCTCTGGACCTCCAGCCCTCCGGACCTCACTCCCACTGCCGCCCCAACCCTCTGGACCTCCAGCCCTCCGGACCTCACTCCCACTGCCGCCCCAACCCTCCAGACCTCACTCCCACTGCCGCCCCAACCCGCCGGACCTCACTCCCACTGCCGCCCCAACCCTCTGGACCTCCAGCCCTCCGGACCTCACTCCCGCTGCCGCCCCAACCCTCTGGAACTCCAGCCCTCCGGACCTCACTCCCACTGCCGCCCCAACGCTCCGGACCTCACTCCCACTGCCGCCCCAACCCTCCGGACCTCACTCCCACTGCAACCCCAACCCTCCGGACCTCACTCCCACTGCCGCCCCAACCCTCCGGACCTCACTCCCACTGCCGCCCCAACCCTCCAGACCTCACTCCCACTGCCGCCCCGACCCTCCGGACCTCACTCCCACTGCCGCCCCAACCCTCCGGACCTCTATCCCTCCGGACCTCACTCCCACTGCCGCCCCAACCCTCTGGACCTCCATCCCTCCGGACCTCACTCCCACTGCCGCCCCAACCCTCCGGACCTCACTCCCACTGCCGCCCCAACCCTCCGGACCTCACTCCCACTGCCGCCCCAACCCTCCGGACCTCACTCCCACTGCCGCTCCAACCCTCCGGACCTCACTCCCACTGCCGCCCCAACCCTCCAGACCTCACTCCCACTGCCGCCCCAACCCTCCGGACCTCACTCCCACTGCCGCCCCAACCCTCCGGACCTCACTCCCACTGCCGCCCCAACCCTCCGGACCTCACTCCCACTGCCGCCCCCACCCTCCAGACCTCTATCCCTCCGGACCTCACTCCCACTGCCGCCCCAACCCTCTGGACCTCCAGCCCTCCGGACCTCACTCCCACTGCCGCCCCAACCCTCTGGACCTCCATCCCTCCGGACCTCACTCCCACTGCCGCCCCAACCCTCTGGACCTCACTCCCACTGCCGTCCCAACCCTCCGGACCTCACTCCCACTGCCGCCCCAACCCTCCGGACCTCACTCCCACTGCCGCTCCAACCCTCCGGACCTCACTCCCACTGCCGCCCCAACCCTCCAGACCTCACTCCCACTGCCGCCCCAACCCTCTGGACCTCACTCCCACTGCCGCCCCCCCACCCTCCGGACCTCACTCCCACTGCCGCCCCCACCCTCCGGACCTCACTCCCACTGCCGCCCCCCCACCCTCCGGACCTCACTCCCACTGCCGCCCCAACCCTCCGGACCTCACTCCCACTGCCGCCCCCACCCTCCAGACCTCTATCCCTCCGGACCTCACTCCCACTGCCGCCCCAACCCTCTGGACCTCCAGCCCTCCGGACCTCACTCCCACTGCCGCCCCAACCCTCTGGACCTCCAGCCCTCCGGACCTCACTCCCACTGCTGCCCCAACCCTCCGGACCTCACTCCCACTGCCGCCCCAACCCTCCGGACCTCACTCCCACTGCCACCCCAACCCTCCGGACCTCACTCCCACTGCCGCCCCCACCCTCCGGACCTCACTCCCACTGCCGCCCCAACCCTCTGGACCTCCAGCCCTCCGGACCTCACTCCCACTGCCGCCCCAACCCTCCAGACCTCACTCCCACTGCCGCCCCGACCCTCCGGACCTCACTCCCACTGCCGCCCCAACCCTCTGGACCTCCATCCCTCCGGACCTCACTCCCACTGCCGCCCCAACCCTCCGGACCTCACTCCCACTGCCGCCCCAACCCTCCGGACCTCACTCCCACTGCCGCCCCAACCCTCTGGACCTCCATCCCTCCGGACCTCACTCCCACTGCCGCCCCAACCCTCCGGACCTCACTCCCACTGCCGCCCCAACCCTCCGGACCTCACTCCCACTGCCGCCCCAACCCTCCGGACCTCACTCCCACTGCCGCTCCAACCCTCCGGACCTCACTCCCACTGCCGCCCCAACCCTCCAGACCTCACTCCCACTGCCGCCCCAACCCTCCGGACCTCACTCCCACTGCCGCCCCAACCCTCCGGACCTCACTCCCACTGCCGCCCCAACCCTCCGGACCTCACTCCCACTGTCGCCCCCACCCTCCAGACCTCTATCCCTCCGGACCTCACTCCCACTGCCGCCCCACCCTCCTCTGGACCTCCATCCCTCCGGACCTCACTCCCAATGCCGCCCCAACCCTCCGGATCTCACTCCCACTGCCGCCCCAACCCTCCGGACCTCACTCCCACTGCCGCCCCAACCCTCCGGACCTCACTCCCACTGCCGCCCCAACCCTCTGGACCTCCAGCCCTCCGGACCTCACTCCCACTGCCGCCCCCACCCTCTAGACCTCCATCCCTCCGGACCTCACTCCCACTGCCGCCCCAACCCTCCGGACCTCACTCCCACTGCCGCCCCAACCCTCCGGACCTCACTCCCACTGCCGCCCCAACCCTCCGGACCTCACTCCCACTGCCGCCCCAACCCTCCGGACCTCACTCCCACTGCCGCCCCAATTCGTCTGCATATCTGGCAACCTGAGTCAGGGAGAGTGGGAGAGGCTGCAGTACCACTTTTGGCCACATTTTTACAGACTGCTCCTTTAATTGTTTGGAAAGTATGTTTAACAGGGGGAAAAAATCATCGCTTGTCATTGCAACTTTTGAAAAAATGACAACCCGCAAAATCCTAAAGGGACTCGTTATAGATAGTGACTTTGAAGAACATAATCCAGGACCTTTAAGGACATTTAAGAACATTTCTGGACAGGGCTTTGGCTCCTACAGCATTTGCTCAAACTGCTCCATTCTCTGCTCCGTCGTTGGCGAACCTGTGAATGGACCAACTTTACAAAGTCCTCTCTGAGACGACTGCGGCTGTGATTTAAGGCTTCACCGAAATAAATTGAATTGGCCTGAACTCTCACCTGCTCTCTCTCTCTCTAAAGTGTTTACCGCATAAACAAGTCTCTCCAGTTACTGCCCCTTAGACAACTTTATTATTTACAATTTTCCAGTCACAACTCGCTCTCCAGTGCTGAATATTTTTAATGAAAATATATTGCAGCCCGCGCAGCTCCAGGCACTTCTTTCCCATTCCACTTGTTTACACGCCGCAAAAAGCTCTTTCTATATTTTTAGCCGGGCAGACAGCCGCGGTAATGGCCTTGGAGCTGAGCGGCCCGTAGAACCGAGCGGCGCCGGGTATTTTTCTGCATGCACCGCCTCCTCTCTTCTCACTCCTGCTTTATCCCCGGCTCGTCTTGTTCCCCCTCACACTCTGAGAAATCACCCACTTTCAAACCAGTTTCGGTCGGAGTCCTGCCGTAGTCTCGCTGCTTTTTTTTTCTTCTTTTTTTTTTTTAAGGGAAGTTGCCGTAAATAGGGGCTCGACGAAAATGGGAAAATGTCAAATCAAATTGAGATGCATGAGAATGTGAAAAGTGCAGCTACAGGAATAAAATGGGGTGAAAAAGTTGGATTCCAAAGATGTTTGGAATTTGTATGTGTTTTAATGGTTGGTCCATTCTGTAGCCCACAGGTGGGTTAGGGCTCATCAGACCAGTCCAGGGTTAGGGTTCACCAGGGTTAGGGTTAACCAGACCAGTCCAGGGTTAGGGTTCTCCAGGGTTAGGGTTCACCAGACTAGTCCAGGGTTAGGGTTAACCAGACTAGTCCAGGGTTAGGGTTAGAGTTCACCAGACCAGTCCAGGGTTAGGGTTCATCAGACTAGTCCAGGGTTAGGGTTCAACAGACCAGTCCAGGGTTAGGGTTCACCAGATCAGTCCAGGGTTAGGGTTAGGGTTCAACAGACCAGTCCAGGGTTAGGGTTCTCCAGACCAGTCCAGGGTTAGGGTTAGGGTTCACCAGACTAGTCCTTGGGCCAACATCACGGACTAAATACTGTCTTGACAAATGTTCTATAACACAGCTGAAGTTGGCTGAATGACACATGTTTACCGTCTCCCGAGTTCACAAGTCGACAACTGAACTCCAGACGTACTGGGCTTCAGAACGAGTCACAACAGGTCTACATTGGCTGAGCTGAAGTTGGATGGATGACACAGTGATCTTGTGTTCATGACTCAGAGACCACTTTGGGTGAGCAAGGCAGAGGGCCACAGTAAATGACACAGAGGACCGCAAATGGCCCCCGGGCCTGAGTTTGGACATGCCAGCTGTAGCCTAAACAAACTATTACAGACATTTTTGCCGTTGTTTCTGACGCAATTTATTGTGGAAAAAACATTGAAGTTATAAAGTGATTGAGCAACTTCTACGACGGCTCAGGAGTTTTTAGCCGATAACCATGGGCAGCTTTACCATCAGAGAGGAGCAAGAAGCTGATCCACGGTCAGGGTTGCCAGATGGGGAGGTTTTACGCTCAATTGGGCGGCTTTGTGATCTATTTTGTGGGAGAAAATATGGGTTTGGGAGAGTGGATAAAAACTGGGCTGGTTATGGATCAGTTCAGAGGGTTTTAGAATCTGAAACACCGGCACTTTAGAGTCTAAAGTGCCGGTGTTTTTATCCCTATTCCTGCAACACTCGGCAGACACACACACACACACACATACACACACACACAGATATATAGAAACACATAGATACACACACGTACACACACAAAGACACACACTCGTACACACACACACACACACACACAAACACACGTTTACACCATAGAATGAAAACAAGAAAGAAGCCAAAAATCTTCTCTGGGTCCAGAGACCAGAGAGAGAGACCAGAGAGAGAGACCAGAGAGAGAGAACAGAGTGAGAAACCAGAGAGAGACCAGAGAGAGACGAGAGAGAGACCAGAGTGAGAAACCAGAGAGAGACCAGAGTGAGAAACCAGAGAGAGACCAGAGAGAGACGAGAGAGAGACCAGAGAGAGACCAAAGAGAGAGAACAGACAGAGACCAGAGTGAGAAACCAGAGAAAAACCAGAGAGAGAGACCAGAGAGACCAAAGAGAGACCAGATAGAGAGACCAGAGAAAGACCAGAGAGAGACCAGCGAGACCAAAGAGAGACCAGAGAGAGAGACCAGAGAGAGAGACCAGAGAGAGAGAACAGAGAGAGACCAGAGAGAGAGACCAGAGAGAGAGACCAGAGAGAGACCAGAGAGAGAGAAAGGAGAGAGAGAACAGAGAGACCAGAGAGAGACCAGAAAGAGAGAAACCGGTACAGAGTTTGACCTGAGTTCCAGGCTCCGCTCTTTAGTTTACCATAAGACCCGTATCCAAGCGTGAAATTACGCAGGGGGTTTAAACCTGTAAGATCAGAGTGTGACCCAGGGGGAGGTAAATAGGCGGCTCAGCGGCTGGGGTTGCTGTGCGACCAGTAGCGGGATGCTGCGGCATCGCTGTGGCCGTGGTGGTGCCGCCTGGGGCGGCTCCGGACAGTGTATCGATTAGTGATTTTCTTGGCTGGTGTGTTGGGGCAATTATTAGGGGTCGTAACTTGTCAGGGCTCTTGAGCTCTCTTGTTGCGGGATGTAGCATATTTGATAGGGGGTCATTAGTGGCTAAGAGGAGGAGGAATATTGGGACTGCTGGTTTGTGAGCGCTATATCGTTGTATGGGTAGGTTGTTTGTGTGTTTTATTGTGGGTATGTTGGTTGTTTTTGATGTTGTGTTGGGGGGTGATGGTGTTGGGGTGTTGTTGTGTTGTGGTGTGTGGTGTTTGTTGTTGGTGGTTTATGGGGGGTGGTTAGTGAGTTTATGGTTGGGTGTATTGTCTTGATCTAGTTTTGTTATGTTGTGGAGTTGGATTGGTGTGGGTGGGTTGGGTTTTGGTTAGTGTTGGGGGTTTGTTGTGTGTGTTTTGTTTGGTTTTGTTTTTGGGTGTGGTTGTGGTTTTGTGTGCGCTTTAAGCGTTTTGTTGTGTGGTTGGGTTTATGGGGTGTGTGTTTGGGTGGGGAGGGTTTGTCTTGGGTTGCTTAGGGGTTTTGTTTTTTGTTTATGGGTGGTGTGTGTTGGTGGTTTGATGTTGGTTTGTGGTGAAATTGGTAAGATTTTTATTAGATTGTATGGAGGTTTTGGTGTTGATCGGCTGGGGTTGTAGGTGTTTGTGTTTTGGTTGTGTTAGCTTTTGGGTTGGTGAATAATGGGGTTGAGGGTGTTTTTGTGGTGGGGTTGTGGTTTGTGTTTGTTGTGTTTGTTTGTTGGTTGTTTGTGTTTTGTGTTTGTTTGTTGTTTTGTGGTTTTTGGGGTGGTGTTGTTGTTTGGTTGTGGTTGGTTTTTGTTTGTGGTTTTGTTGTGGTTTGTTTGTGGTTTGTTGTTTTGTGTTGGTTTTTTTGTGTTGTGTTTGTGTTTTTGTGTTTGTTTGTGTTGTGGTTTTTGTGTTTGGTTTGTTTTGTTGTTTTTGGGTTGTTTGGTTGTTTTGTGTGGGTTGTGTTTTGTTTTGTGGTTGTTTTTGTGGTTGTTTTGTTTGTGGTTGGTTGTTTTGTTGTGTTTTGTTGTTGTGTTGTTGTTTTTTGTTTGGGTTTGTTTGGTGTTTTGTTTTTGGTTGTGTGTTTTGTGTTTGTTGTTTTTGTTGGTGTGTGTTTGTTGTTGTTTGTTTTGTTTTTTTGTGTTTGTTGTTTTTTGTGGTTTTGTTTGTTGGTGTTTGTGTGTGGTGGGTGGGGGTGGGGTGGGTTGTGGGGGGGGTTGGGGTGGGGTGGGGGGTGTTGTGTGTGGTGGGTTGGGTGGGGTTGGGGGTTGGGGGTGGTTGTGGGTGGGGGGTGGGTGGTGGGGGGTGGTTGTGGGTGGGTTGGGTGGGGGTGGTGGTGTTGGGGTGGTGGTGTTGGGGTGTGTGTGGTGGGGGGGGGTGGGGTGGTGGGGGGGTGGTGGGGGGGTGGGGTGGGGGGGGGTGGGGGGGGTGGTGTGGGGGTGTGGGTGGGTGGGGGTGGGGGGGTGGTGGGGTGGTGGGGGGGTGTGGTGGGGTGGTGGGGTGGGGGGGGGGGTGGGGTTGGTGTGGGGTGGGGTTGGTGGGGTGTGGGGTGGGGGTGTGGGGTTGGTGGGGGGGGTGGGTGTGGGGGGTGTGGGGTGGGGTGGGGGGGTGGGGGGTGGGGTGGTGGGTGTGGGGGTGGGTGGTGGGGGGTGTGGGGTGTGGGGTGGGGTGTGGGGGGGGTGGGGTGGTGGTGTGGTGGTGGGGTGGGGGGTGGGGTGGGGGTGTGTGGGTGGGGGGGGTGGTGGGGGGTGGGTGGGTGGGGGTGGTGGGTGGTGGGTGGGTGGGGTTGGGGGGGGGGGTGTGGGGTGGGGTGGGTGGGGTGGGGGGGGGGTGGGGGGTGTGGGGGTGGTGGGTGGTTGGGGGGGGTGGGTGGGGGGGTGGGGGGGGGGTGTGGGGTGTGGTGGGGGTGTGTGGGTGGTGGGGGGGGTGTGTTGGGGTGTGGTGGGGGGTGGGGGGTGGGGTTGGTGGGGTGGGGGGTTGTGGTGGTGGGGTGTGGGGGTGGGTGGGGTGGTGGTTGGGGGGGTGTGGGGGGGTGTGGGGTGTGGGTGGGGTTGGTGGGGGGGGGGGTGGGGTTGGGGGGTGTGGGGTGTGGGGGGTGGTGGGGGGTGGTGGGGTGGGTGGTGGGGGGGGTTGTGTGTGGGTGGTGTGGGGGGTGTGGGGGTGTGGGTGTGGGTGGGGGGGTGGTGTGTGGGGTGGGTGTGGGGTGGGGTGTGGGGGGTGGGGTGGTGGGGGGGTGGTGGGTGTGGGGGGGTGGGGGTGGGTGGGGTGGTGGTGGGTGGGGTGGGGGTGTGGGTTGGGGGGGGGTGTGGGGGGGGTGTGGGTGTGGGGGGTGTTGGGTGGTGGTGTGGGGGGGTTGGGGGTGGGGGGTGGGGTGGGGGTGGTGGGGTGGGGGTGGTGGTGGGGTTGGGGGTGGGGGGGGTGGTGGGTGGGGGGGGGGGTGTGGGGTGGTGGTTGGGGTGGGGTGTGTGGGTGGGGGGGTGGGTGGTGGGTGGTGGGGGGGGTGGGGTGTGGGGGGGGTGGGGGTGGTGGGGGTGTGGGTGGGTGGGGGTGGGGGGGGTTGTGGGGTGGGGTGGTGGGGGGGTTGGGGGTGGTGTGGGGGGGTGGTGGGGTGGGTTGGGGGGTGGGGGGTGGGGTGTGGGGTGGTGGGGGTGGGGGGGGGGTGTTGGTGGGTGGGTGGGGTGGGGGGGGGGTTGGGTGGGGTGGTGGGGTGTGGGGTGGGGTTGGGGGGGGGGTGTGGTGGGTGGGGGGTGGGTGGGGTGGTGGGGGGGGTGTGGGGGGTGGTGGGGGGGTGGTGGGGGTGGGGGTGGGTGGGTGTGGGGGGGGGTGGGGTGGGGTTGGGGGGGGGGTGGGGGGTGGTGGGGGGGGGGGTGGTGGTGGGGTGGGGTGGGGGGTGGTGGGGGGGTGGTGGGGTGGGGGTGGGGTGGGTGGGGTGGGGGGTGGGGGGTGGTTGGGTGGGGTGGGGGGTGTGGGGGGGGGTGGGGGGGGGGGGGGGTGTGGGTGGGGTTGGGGTGGGGGGGGGGTGGGGGGGTGGGGGGTGGGGTGGGGTGGGGGGGTGGGGGGGGTGGGGGGTGGGGGGGTGGGGGGTGGGGTGGGGGGTGGGGGGGGGTGGGGTGGGGGGGGGGGGGGGGTGTGGGGTGGGGGGGGTGGGGGGGGGGTGGTGGGGGGGGTGGGGGGTGGTGGGGTGGGGGGGGGTGGGGGGTGGGGGTGGGGGTGGTGGGGGGGGGGGGGGGTGTGGTGGGGGGTGGTGGGGGGTGTGGGGTGGGGGGGGGGTGGTGGGTGGGGGTGGGGGGGTGGGTGGGGGGGGGGTGGGGGGGGGGTGGTGGTGGGGGTGGGGGGTGGGGGTGGGGTGGGGGGGTGGGGGGGGTGGGGGGGGGTGGGTGGGGGGTGGGGGTGTGGGGGGTGGGGGGGTGGTGGGGTGGGTGGTGGGGGGGGGGGTGGGGGGGGGGGTGGGGGGTGGGGGGGTGGGGTGGGTGGGGGTGTGGGTGGTGGGGGGTGGGGGTGGGGGGGTGTGGGGGTGGGGTGGGGGTGGGGGGGTGGGTGTTGGGGGTGGGGGGGTGGGGGGGGGTGGTGTGGGGTGGGTGGGGGGTGGGGGTGGTGGGGGGGGGGGGTGGGGGGGGTGTGGGGTGGGGGTGGGGGGGTGGGGGGTGGGGGGTGGGTGGGGGGGGTGTGGGGGGGGTGGGTGGGGGGGGGTGGGGGGGGGTGGGGGGTGGTGGGGGGGTGGGGTGTGGGTGGGGGGTGGGGGGGGTGGGGGGGGGGTGGGGGTGGGTGGGGGGGGGTGGGGTGGGGGGGGGTGGGGGGGGGGGGGGGTGGGGGGGGGTGGGGTGGGGGGGTGGGGGTGGGGGGGGGGGGGTGGGTGGGGGGTGGTGGGGGTGGGGGGGTTGGGTGGGGGGGGGGTGGGGGGGGGTGGGTGGGGGGTGGGGGGTGGGGGGTGGGTGGTGGGGGTGTGGGGGGGGTGGGGTGGTGGGGGGGGGGGTGGGGGGGTGGGGGGGGGTGGGGGGGTGTGGGGGTGGTGGGGGGTGGTGGGGGTGGGGGGGGTGGGGTGGGGGTGTGGGGGTGGTGGGGGGGGGGGGGGTGTGGGGGGGGGGTGGGGGGGGTGTGGGGTGGGTGGGGGGGTGGGGGTGGGGGGGGTGGGGGGGTGTGGGGGGTGTGGGGGGGGGGTGGGTGGGTGTGGGGGGGGTGGGGGGGTGGGGGGGTGGGGGGGGGGGTGGGGGGTTGGGGGGGGGTGGGGGGGGTGTGGGGGGTGTGGGGGGGGGTGGGGTGGGGGGGTGGGTGGGGGGTGGGGGGTGGGGGGGGTGGGGGGGTGGGGGGGGGGTGGGGGGGGGGGTGGTGGGGGTGTGGGGGGGTGGGGGGGGGGGGTGGGGTGTGGGGGGTGTGGGGGGGTGGGGGGGTGGGTGTGGTGGGGGGTGGGGGGGGGGTGGGGTGGGGGTGGGTGGTGGGGGTGGGGGGGGTGGTGGGGTGGGGGGGGGGGGGGGGGTGGGGTGGGGGGGTGTGGGGGGGGGGGTGGGGGGGGGGTGGGGGGGGGTGGGGGTGGGGGGTGGGGTGGGGTGGGGGGGTGGGGGGTGGGGGTGGGGGGGGGGGGGGTGGGGGGTGGGGGGGGGGGTGGGGGGGGGGGGGTGGGGGGGTGGGGGGGGGGTGTGGGGGGGGTGGGGGTGGGGTTGGGGGGTGGGGTGGGTGGTGGGGGGGTGGGGGGGTGGGTGGGGGTGGGGGGGTTGGGGGGGTGGTGGGTGGTGGGGGGGTGGGGGGGGTGGGTGGGGGGGGGGTGGGTGGGGGTGGGTGGTGGGGTGGGGTGGTGGGGGTGGGTGTGGGTGGGGGGTGGGGGTGGGGGGGGGTGGTGGGG